ATTATTATTGTTATTGTTATTATTATTGTTGTTATTATTAATTCTTTTATTATTGTTATTATCATTATTATCAATACTATTAACATTTAAATCAATTGAAAATAGTTGATATGCAAGAATAATCATTTAGGTTAATTTTTAAATTTACCCATGTTCAAACAAAAAAAAAAAAATTTTTTTTTTCGAAAATATTTACTGTTTTAAGTATGAAAAAAAAAGAAAACGAGTTAAACTTTAAAATGTCTGATATTACTAATAAAAAAGTTTTGCATTTATGAATAATTTATAATTTAAATGATTTAACAAAGGTGGCATCCATCCTACATTTGCATTTATAGCCATTTTTAATTATTTTAATCAAATTTAATTTATGGGAATAATTTAAAGAAAATCTTTCTTATTATCTCTTTCTTTTACCATTTTAATTAAGAATTGTTTTATTTTTTTTCTTTCAAAATAAAAAAATCTCTACCTCATATTACAAAATAACTTTTTAAAATAGTTTTTTATCTTATATTTTTTTATTTTTGAAACAAAAATGGTGGATTTGTATATATTAATTTAAATAATATAATAACTCAATTATTAAATTCAATTTTTGTATGATAATTTAAAATATTACTGCAAATCATTTTATATTAATGAAATTTATTTATCCAATAGATAATTGAATATTGAGTTTGCTATTCAATTTCGAAAAAAAGAAGAAAAAATTTTTGATTATTTTTCTGTCTTATTTATTTAATTTGGGTTTTTTTTTCCGCAAATTTTAATCATATAATTATTTAATTATATTGCGAATTTTTAATTATTTAATTATATATATTTTTGGAAATTTTAATTATGTAAATTTCGATCCATATTTAATTTTATATCTTATTTTAATTCGAGTTTTTTGCAAATTTAATTGAGTTTAATTTTGATTCCTATTTTTTTTTTCTAAATACAAAAATTTTGCAAATTTTCTGTGTTAATCATAATTTTTGCAATTCTTTTATCTAATTTACATATCTAATTTACTCTTCGAATTTCAATTAAAATTTTAACCATAGATTTTAATAAATATAATATATTAGTTTTATTAGTATCAAATTACGCTTAATAATCAAACATTTTTAGTAACTTTATATTTAGAATTTTTGAAATTTTAGATGAAATCTTCATTTTTCACCTTTCTTTCTTATCTTTTAATTTTACATTTTTTGTTTATTAATAATTTTAATTGATTTAATTTATATTTAAATATTTTTTTTTATAGAGAAAGTAAGAATGGATCATTTAAATAATATTTTTTGATTTTTATTATTCAAATAATAATTTTTCTTCATTAATAAATAAAACGAATTAAGAAAAGAAATTTAAATCATTGATTAATTAATTTCATATATAAATGTTACTTTTGAAAATGAAAAAAAAAAAAAGTTTGTTTATTCAAATAATATTATTTGACTGATTTATTTTACTATGCTTATCAAATAACGAAGGGAAGAAAAAAAAAACAAAATCATTTATCAATTTGTTTTTTTATCAGTAGAAATTTTATTTTTTTTTATACGTTCATTTTGAGCAAAAAAAAAAAAAAAAGAAACTTTAAAATTTGTTTTATACAAAAAAAATATTTGCTGATCGTACTGTATCCATTATCACCTTATCATTATCATTAAAGAACAAAAACACGTAACACTTAAAATTTCAAATCTTTAAATTGAATTTTTTCTCTTCTTATTACTACTATGATAAAAGAATGATAATAATAAAATTTGTCTATTCCATCTTTTCTTTTCATTTTCCTTTTCTTGTTTCTTTCTTTTTTTCTTATCAAATAAATTGCTAACTACAAATTTGTCTTATTTTTTTTTATTTTAATTTTTATTTTTCATCGTTTTATTATTATTTATTTATTTTTTCCTTTTCTTCATTTCTCTTTTTAACCTTTTTTTTTTTTGTTTTTGTTTTTTAACCTTTTTTTCTTGTCCTTTGACCTTTCTTCTTCTTTTTTTGGTCTTTTCTGTTCGTTAATTTTATATGAAGTGCTCATTTATAAACATCTATTTGAGAAAAATTCTAATATTTTCATATATTTTTGTTATAAAATAATACTTTTATCAATTAAAAAAATAAGAAACGATTTTTGATTTTTTCTTGGAAACAAATTTTTAATTATTTAAATTATTTTATTTATTAAAATTAGAAAAATAAATAAAGGTTAAAGTAAAATGATAACATTTTAAAATAAAAATGAAATTTTGATCATTTTAATTTCGAAAATTGTTTACATTATGGAATGAAATCATTTCGCTATGGGTAAATCAATTATTTTGTTTCAGTATTTTCTTCTTCCTCTTTTGGCAACAAAATTTTTAAAAAAAAAAATTACAAAGATGAAATTATTCCTTCAATTAATTTCTTAAAACATTTAGTCATAGAGCAAAATTAAAATTCAGAATTTGAATTTAATTAGCAAAATACTTTTTTTTTCTGAAATTTTAACAGTATTATGGCATTCGAGAACAAATAGCATTTGATTTTTCAATATAATTTATCATATTTTTGAAATAATATTTTAAATAAAAGTAATAAAAGAAATGATAATTTTAATTAATTATTTATATATGTATAATTTTCTTAATAATAATTCAGAAATGGTTTACTCAATTTTAACAACTGAAAACTTTTTTTTTTTTTAATTTCAATAATTATTAGTTCGGAAATATTTATATTTTTACTGTATTTGGAAGATTAAACTTTTTTGATTTGTTGTCTGAATTTATTATGCAAAATTACTGTAATCCCTTAAATGTTTCATTTATTAGTCATTCTCTCTCTCTCTCTCTCTCTCTCCCTTCTTTTATCAGTTTATCAGTTATTTACTTTTTTTATTAAACATTTGGTTGCATACTGTAGTACTACTATAGAATTACTGATATGATTACTGATATGATATGAGAAGGAAAAGAGCAAAAATTGTTTAAATTTGCAATTTACTTTTTCGTTTTTTTTTTTCTAATATATAATTTATAATTTTTTAATTTGTAAAATATTTTTATAATATTTGAAATAAAAAAAGAAAAAAAAAGTTTGCTTTTTATAATAAATGCAAAAATCAATCGTTTGCTTTTTTTTTTTTAATTAGATTTTTACCCATTTTGAATTTTTTTTTATCATTTGAGAACAATGAATTTATTAAAATTTATGATTTAAAATTATTTTAGATAATTAATTTCAACTTGTAATATATGTGTTATGGTTATGATAAGTTTAAAATTTCATTTCAAAAAATAAATTAATAAATAAACATTTTGAAATAATGAACAATCTCATACTTAAATTTTATTCTTTTTTTTCCTATCAAAAATTATTGAATTTAAAATAACATGAAAAATGAGAAGAATGAAATTTGAGATAAATGTTAATTTAACTTATTTGAATATCGTTTTTTTTTTCGGATTGAAATGAAAATGAAATGAAAAGAAATATTAGATTTTTAGTAAAATAAATATTATTTATTTACTTTAATAATTAGAACATTAATTGAAAAATTGTAATGAAATTTTTTCAAATTTTATAAATAATTTAACTTTTTTTTTTGTCTACTATATGAAAATTAATTTTTGAAATATAATTCTATCTGTGCTATTTAGTCTAAACGTTTATTTAATTATTAATACTTTTCTAAACTATTATATGTTTTAACGTTTTATTTCATAAAAGTTTCATACGTGAAAAATGCGTGAAACGTGCGTGAATTTAATGAAATAAATAATATTTAATAATTATCATTTTTGATTTTTTTTTTTTGTTTGGAAAGAATTTATATAATTTCAGAATGGCATTTATAAATTTGGAAGAATGCATGGAATTGTATTATTTGCGCAAATTTTGAAAATATTTATTAATATTTTATTAATGAAATGAATTTAATGATAATTTCATATAATTTTAGTAAACTTGGAATGAGAAATTCAATTTTTTAACAAAATTTTGCTCTTTTTTTTTGTTGTATTTAAATTTTTGATTTTAAGGCCTTTCTTATCTTTTTTTCCAGTACCTTTCTATTTTTTTTTCATTTTTTTAATTAGTTAACTAAAAATAAATCTCAAAATGAAAAAAACAAAAAAAAAAGAAAGAAACGAGCAACCTGTCGAAATTAATAAGTATTAATAATGGAAAGGTAATACAGGTATGAGGGAGTTATGCCGGTTAAGGATATTGACATCGCCATTGGTACTAGTATTATTATTATTATTAAATTCTATTGCTACTGTTAAAGCATGGAATAAATGGAGTTTTAATAAATGTAAGTTATTAAGTTATAAATGATATAAGTAAGTTTTAATCGATATAAGTTATTAAGTTATAAATAATATAAGTAAGTTATAATCAATATAAGTTATTAAGTTATAATCAATGTATGTAAGTTGTTGAACTGTAATTGATATAAATTCTTAAGTTGTAATTAATAAGTTAATTGAATTATAATCAGTGAATGTTATTTGAGAAGAAAGTAATAATTAAATATTTTAGGAAATTCAAAAATTATAATTTTCTAAAGTAATAAATTTACGTTAAATTCGTTATTGAATAATAATAAATGTAAATTATTGAAAATGCATGAAATTGAATTGAAAAAAGTTAAAAATATATAATTTTATAGATAGTATTTTTTTATTATTTTTATAAATTTACTTTTGTAAATATTTTTTTTAAATTATATTTATACGGTTTTATTACACTTTTATCTATTGTAATTTTAAAATATAAAAAGAGAAAAAAAATTTTGTTTTTAAAAATTATTGAAATAACTGAAAATTTTTGATAAAAAATAAAAGTATTATCAAAATTTTGAATTTCTTATCAATTTAATGTAATAATTTTACACTATTATGATTAAATGATAGATATAGTTTAAATTTATTTATTATTTTTAATACGTTTAGGAAGGATTAAATTTGAAATAAATTATATTTGTAGAGAATTTAATTAAATTTGATCATTTGTATATGTATTATATTTCAGATCAAACTGTCGATGACTACTATTCACCTTGTTAGTTTCATAATTCCTAAATGAATATATTTCAAAAGATTTAATTAAAATAATTTTTTAGAAAAAAAAACGAAAATTTAATTTTCAAATAATTTCCATTTTTATAATTTAATTTCAATTTCACATTGTAATGCTAAAGATTGTTCAAAATTTATGATTTTTCTTTTTTTTTGTAGTAATTTCTTTCTTTTTTTGGATTTTTTTTTTCTTTTAGAAATTAAAAAAGTTTTTTCATAATTTGTAGCCAATAAAAATTATTTTTTTTTTCTAAGATTATTGGTATGCAATTAAAAAACTTTTGAGATTTTTAATTAATTAACTTAGTGCTAAAAATTAAAATACAACTTTTTCCTTTTTTTTAAAAAAAAATTAACTTACAGTAACAATTAAAATATAATTTTTGTTTTCTATTAAATTAATTTATATCGAAATGAAAATATGGGCTTAATTTATAGCTAAAAAATTAAAATGTGAGCTTTTTTTTTAAATTATAGTTAAAAATTAAATTATAAGATTTCATTTTTTTTTTTAAATTAACTTCTTTCTATACATATCTTTTAGATTAAATCATATTAAATTAGCATTTTTTTTTTTTTTTGAATTACCTAAAAACTAAATTATAAGCTATTAATTATCTAAAATAGTTGTTAGTATGGAATATTTTTCCTTCTATTTTCTTTTCTTTTTTTTCAAATTAACTTATAACCATTTTTTTTTTTTTTAGATTAACTTATATTAAATTAATTTTTTTTTTTTTTTGTAAATTAACTTTAACTTACCTAAAAAATAAAGTATAAGTGTAATACTTATCTAAAATAGTCATTAGTATGGACAATTTTTTTTCTTCTTTTTTCTTTTTAGCAGTACAAATTACTATTTATCCAACGGAAGAAAATATTTATGAAGGAAATGATGCAACGTTTAATTGTCGTGCACGTACTTCTGACGGTGTCACACATTCGGAAGTACGTTGGACACGTTACAATGCACCAATGCCTAATTCAGCGTACGAAGTAGACGGACGTTTAAAATTTTCATCAGCCGTATCGTCTGATAGTGGACGATATATTTGCTCAGCAAATATTGGCGGACGAACTTATGATGCATCAGCTCAGTTAAATGTACAACGTTGTAAGTTTCATTGAACAGAAGAGAATAAGTATTAAATTTATTAAAATATTTTAAAAAAAAAAAAAAGAGAGAGAATAAATAAAAAACTTAAAATATAAATGTTAAATATAAAAAAATATCAAAATATTCTAATAGCAATTTTTTTTCCGTTTTTTTTTTTTTTCAAAATTTTTTAAATAACTCATAAAATATGTAAGTATTAATGTAGTCATCAAGCTTATAGAATTTATTGCTGAACTTTTGATACATTTTTATGTTTAGCAAAATTAAAAATAACACCGTCGAGTTATATAATTATAATTAGTTACATCAATAAAATGAAAATTAAATTAAAACTTTAAAAAAAGGAATTATTTTATTTTTTTTACGTTATATTTTAAAAATAAATGTAATAAATTAATAAATGACTATTATTAATTATATATTAATTCATCTTATTTACATAGAACTTAAGTTTGTTTTTTTTTTTTTTTTGAAATAATTATTTTTTTCTCTCTTTTCAACCATGATAAACTATATTTGATAACAGTTTTGTTAAATATTTATCACTTATGATAATATTTGCTTCATAATTAAATTACTTTAAACGTTAACAAATACTTAACTTTCAATTTTTTGAATTTTGAAATGCTAGTTTAGATAATTTAAAATATAATTAATTGTGCATTATATGTGTGTATATTAGGAAATGTATACTTAAAATAGATGACAAAAGAAAATTTAATTAATAATTATAATTAATAATTAATGATTTCGACCATTCATATGCAAATCAATTACTAACAAAATAAATAGTTAAATTATTAATTACAATTTCTAATTAAAATTAAAGCAATATAACTGATCTAATCAAGAATTTATGCTTTTATAGTCTTTCAAAAAAAGTTTCATTTGAATTTAAATGTATGATATTATTATTATTTGAAATAATTAAACTGTTTTTATCTTTTTTGGTAAATCTGATAAATTTCCATTTATTGGAGTTTTAATTACCGTTCCGGAACGAAAAAAAAAATGGAGAAATAATATTATTACACCATTTTACACATAAATCATTTCTGAAATTCCATAAAGAAATGATTGTTTTTATCTATCATTGAAAAAATTCTTTCCTAAATTAGTACTTAAAATATTTTGTGATCGTTAATTGTTATAGACAAACTTATGTCAAATGAGTAAAAAAATAAAATTTAAATTTTATCTCTTTAATGATTATTTCTGTCATATTTTATTCTGATTTCTAAAATTTAATTTAATCATAAATTAATTCATTTCTCTTACGCTTTTCAAATTTATCAAAATTCATATTGTCATTGATATTATAGTTATATTTAATAAAAAATATTTCAAATTATATATATATATACCAACTTTTTAAACAGACATGATTTAATTTAATATAATTAATTCAATTTCAATTTATTCAGTAGTATAACAAATCAAATATTTGTGTATTGTTTTAAATTTAATATGTTTTGAATAAATAAGATAGACAGCTATGACACGTACGCTTAATGTGTGAAATTAAAATAACGTTTTATTTTTCTTTTATGATTAACTTTTGATAAATAAAATGACCAAAAGAAAGTAAACAAACAAATTAAAATAAATTTTTATTGAAAATAATAAATGAAATGTTTCAAGCTTATACATATATTAGTAGAATTGTTGAATAGAATACATCGTGAGAGGTGAAAGGTGGAAGGTAAAAGGTCAAAAAAAGGCAAAAAGCAAAAAAATGAAAGTAGCAAAATTGTAAATTTGTATTTAATTATTATTCATTAAATTATTTCATTTTATTTTTTTTGCTTTTTCGTTGTTTATCGTGAAAAAAAATTTTTTTAAATATTATGCATTCAGTGAAGTAACGTAGAAATTTATAGTAAAGTACAATGGAAATTGAATTAAACTTGTTTTGCTTTTTTTTTTTTATTTTTCTTATTTTTCTATTATCTGTTAAGAAAAATAATGTTCGATAATAAAAAAAAAAAAAACAAGAAAAAAAATTATTTACCGGAAATGAACGCTGTTTTTTCTCTTTTTATTTTTTGGGTAAAAGCTGGGAAAAGAAGAAATGGGTAAAAAATAAAGTATATGATAAAGAGGGAAACGTAAATTATTAATTCAAATAATTAAAATAATTTTAATAATAAATAGAAATCATACGCTAGCAGAAGTAATACACTAATTTCAAATATTCTGAAAATAAAAACAAAAAGTTGGAAGGAGAGTTAAGTTAATAATATCTTTTTATATGACACAAATTTTTCGTAGAAATTTTGCATTTCAAAAAAAATCATTTTAGAAATTTCTTTTTTTATTTACATTTTAAAATAACTATTAATTAGAATTATAAATATTCCTTGTTAATATAAAGATAATTTAAAAAAAAAAAAATTATCAATCGAAAAAAATTATTTCTTTTCTTAGAATTTTGTATTTCTAGAAAAATTTTTTCATAATTCTAACTAGTAATTATTTAAAATTTTTGAAATTCTGAAATTATATTTCAACCGCTGATAGTATTACTTAATTTCAATGTTTTACATTTTTCATTTTTCAAACTTATGGCGAATAATTTTTTGGAATGCTTTGCTCAAATTTCACTTCCATTTTTCTTTCGATAATTTGAATTAAATTCAAATTAAAAAGGTTATCACTAATTTAAATATTTCTAAAGTTTTTTGTTACTGTTTTTGTTATTGTTTTATTGTTATTGTTTCTGTAAAAATGAATATAAAAAAATAATGTATCATTATTGATCAAATTGAATCAAATTTTATATTAAATTATTTTTGTCATATCAAAAAGAAATCTTTTTTTTTTCACTTACAGTAAAAGAAAGAAAAAAATTGTAAATTTTTTTTTCAGCTAAACTTAATGTTAGTACTATGCAAAAAAGTTAATGATTTAATTAAATTTCTAATTAAATTATTAGTAAATTTTATTGAATAGCAAAAATCATTAAAATCGATTACATTTGGAAGAAAAAAAAAATTGTTCCCATAATAATACAAAAATTAAAATAACGAAAAAAAAGAATTGAAATTTCTGTTTTACATTCATTTCCGATTGTCTTATTTTGCTTTTTCTTTAATGATAAGTTTTAATTGAATAAGGTTAGCATAATATTTTGAATTCAAATTAATAGTAATTATTAATTCAATTAATAATTTTAATAAGTTCAGCATAATATTTTGAATTCAATTAAATTAAATTAATATTTTACTATAAACTTCCAATTATTTCCTATTTTAGGACAAAAATAATCTATGAATATTCTTTAAAAATTAAATTATTTTACAATTTTACAATGCTAATTTCCGGTTGTTTCATGATATTTCGACGATAAATACAAAAAAAAAAAAAAAAACAGAAATTTAATGAAATGAATTTTGCTAGCTATTTTCAAATGAATTAAATAAGCAAAGAAAAAAAAAGAGATAAAATAGAAATATTTGAAAGGAATAATTTCAAACTGACAAGTATATTTACAGGTAAAAGTTTCATTTCTTTTTTCTTCTTTGTCATCTTCAAGGTAAATTAAAAATTTTCAATATAAATTAATTATTTCCTCCTTTTTTTTTTTGCTTCTTCATTCCTTCATTCCTCACTACAGATGGACCACAAGAGTTCCAAAATATCCTACCACAAACCGGTTTATGCCGGATTGATGAAAGAGCTTGCGGTAATAATGAATGTGTTAAAACTGATTATGTTTGTGACGGTGAACCGGATTGTCGAGATCGTAGTGATGAACAGGTAGATCATTTCATTCTTGTCTATATTTTTTCTTTTTTTTAAAAAATAAATTTTAAAAATTTTTTTGAAAAAAAAGCGAAACAAATGAAAAAATAAACAAACAAATATGTATATATTAAATACTTACAAATTAAAGTATATTTTAAAAAATGCTATTGAAATTTATCTTATTATTAAGTAAATTTTGTTATTAAATGAATTTTATATAATTTATCTAATTATTAAATAAATTTTATTAATCCTTTTTTTCTTAATATTGCAACGAAAAATTCGGATAATATTAGCACCAAAACTAAATTGTAATATTTTTTCTTTCTTCTTTTTAAAATAATTGATGAATTTATAGTTATTAAAATAAATAAATTAATTTGCTTTAAATTATTTAAATCTTAGAATTAGAAAAATTGATAAATTTGTAATTAAAATAATAAAATTAATTTTATTATAAAAATGTTTCAAATTATAGAATTGTCCATCGTTACGTTCATGCGAGCCAAATGAATTTATGTGTACTAATGGACGTTGTGTACAAAAAATGTGGCTCTGTGACGGTGACGATGACTGTGGTGACAATTCGGATGAGCAAGCATGTAGTCATCGAGCAGCATCTGATGGTTGCGCGACAAGTGAATTTAAATGTCGCGATGGACGACAATGTGTACCACTTAGCTTTCATTGTGATGGTACCAATGACTGTCAAGATGGATCTGATGAGGTTTTCATTTCTTTTGTTTATTTTTTTGTAGGAATTAAAAATATTTGAAAATATTTTATAAATAACACATTGTTATTTCAATGATATTCAATAATAATATAATTATTTAGCAGTATTTCGTGTAAGTTTTGTGATGTAATTTTTTTTTTTTTCGATATTTAATTTGACGTAATTATTCGATGGTTATGACGTATGATCATTCTGCGTTATTCAATATTGACGTGATCATTCTGCGTTATTCAATATTGACGTGATCATTCTGCGTTATTCAATATTGACGTGATCATTCTGCGTTATTCAATATTGACGTGATCATTCTGCGTTATTCAATATTGACGTGATCATTCTGCGTTATTCAATATTGACGTGATCATTCTACGGCATAACTATTGCTGTGGCTTGATTACTTGATGATACTTAACATGACGTGACGATTTTGTGACAATAATTGTTCTACGTACTAAATATAATGTAGTTATTCTATGGCGTGATTATTCTGCAATAATCAATATTCTCTGATATTGATGTTGAATATGATGCAAATTATCCTGTGACGTGGTGAATCTGCGAATATTATGACGCGATTATTCTGTGACGTGATTATTCTGTGACGTGATGATTTCGCCATATTCACTGTGGCGTGAACGCGATTATTCTGTGACGTGATGATTCCGCCATATTCACTATGACGTAATTGTTGTGCGTCATTCAATATGACGCAATTATTCTACGCTATGCATTTCATTGTATTAAAAAAGTTCTTCTCTCTTTTCACTTTTTTTCTTTTAAAAATCTGCAAATAATTCAAATCTTATATAATAATAATTAAAATGATTAAATGCTTATTTACTGTTAAATAATCGAAAGAGAAAAAAAAAAAACGTAACAATAAATTTAAACAAAATTATAATTATCAATTAATTAACATTCATATGTTTTATTTAAAAAAAAATAAAATCTTTCATTTCCATTTTACAGTAAGAACACAGAGTTTTTTTTTTCTTTTTTGTTTTGCATAAATTAATTGTCAAAGAGGAAAAAGTGAAATTTACAAAATTTTATTTAAAGATTGGATGTGTACAACCGACGATTGTACAACCACCGGAAACGAATAAGCAGGTGCATGCTGGTGGTACCTTTCAGTTAACATGTAAAGCGGTAGCTGTACCTGAACCATACATTAATTGGCGTCTAAACTGGGGTCCTGTTTGTAATCCACCAAGGTGTACACAACATTCTGAGGGCGGTCTTGGTACACTTACAGTGAAAAATGCTCAGTATGTGTTTCTCTCTCTCTCTCTCTCTTTTATAAACATTTGATTAAAAAATACGAAAAATAATTCATTTAAAAATTTATTTTCTCTAATAATAATAATTAATTATTCCAGTTTTTTGATTAATTCGAAATAGAATGATATGAAGTGAAAATATGTGTAATTTATATTTATTAAAGGAATAAGTGGAATTAAATAATTAGAAATGAAATAAATGGATGATCAATTAGGATAACATATTTTATTAGTAATTAAAATAAATTTGTGTTTATTATGTAACGTAAACATTGATAGAATTTCATAAATTATAGGAATAAAAAAAGCTAAAAAAATAAAAAAGAAAGTGGAGAAATGCTAATATAAAAAATATTATTGAAATAATTTTGAAATTAAAAAAAACTTTTAATATGCATATTACAACTATTATAAATGAAATAATATAATGAATTTGTTTTTTGTTTTTTTTATTTTGAATAATAAATTTAAATTTAACCATTTCTAAAATTCATTGGAGTATTTCAAAAAATAAAAATATAGACACTGAATAAAGGATTTTAACATTTATTCAAGTCTTTTCCTTATCTTTCTTTCTCTCTCCCTCTCTTTTGCTCTTCTATTAAAAGAAATGAAACTTTTTTTTTTCTTTTGCAGTAATTTATAAAATGCTAAAATGCTTCATATATGAGTCATTTGCATTTCTATTTCTATTAAAATATCTTTTAAAGTGAAAAAGATAAAATTTTGAAATATTTTATTTAAAGAAAAAAGTTTTCTCTGTAAGATAAACGAAAATGTTTGAAAAGTGAGAAAAGAGGGATAAATTAATGTAAATTGTCTAGAAAGACAGTTGTCTTTTCGATAAATATTGCACAAATTATCTTTTAAAATTTATTTGTAAAAAAAAAAAAAAAAAGGAAACGAAGCGTAAAGAAGAAAAGAAAAAAAAAAGATTGAAATGATAGATTATTGAATTATTTATTTTAGGGCAAATTTTTACAAATTTGTTTTCCTCCTTTTTTTTTTTTTTTTCTCTTCAACTGAAATTTTTATTTAAATTTTCATTTTTTTTTTTTTGTAAAGTAACAAAAAAAAAAAACAGAAAAACTGAAAAGTAATGCAAAAAAAAAAGGAAAAAGAAATGAAATTTTTTAGGATAGTAAATCTACTTATTTAAATGATAAAAAAAAAGTTAAAAAAGAATTAAATTGCTATAATTTTACTTTTTGAATCTTTCTTCTTTAGTGTTTATAAAAATTTAATTTAAACGATTTTAAAAATTGAACAAAAATTAAATTTTAGATCAAAGGAATTGTTTTTTCTTTTATCCTATCGAAATTGCTACTAAACCATACCAAATTTTTAATAATTTCGAATTAAAATTAGTTCTATAATCAAACTCAAACAGTTCTGCTTTAAATGAGTGAAATGAGAAAATGATTAAAAGTTTAATAATTTAATTAATTTTCAAGACCACTTGATCAAGGTGCTTACACCTGCGAAGCAATTAATGTAAAAGGTAGAGTGCTAGCTACACCGGATTGTATCGTTCGTATCGTTAATATTCCGGCTCCTGAAATGCAAACACAGTGCAATATTGTCGGTTCTGTAAGTCCAATTCCGGATCATACAGGTCGATGTCAATGTAAGGTTAGCACTTTTGCATTATTTAATTATTTTTAAATTAATTAAATTATTATTTTATTCAATAAAACGGAATTATCAATTTATTATATATAATCAATGATACAACAAATTGTAATTATTAATATTATATTAATTCAATAAATTAAATAAAAATGAACAAAAAAAAAATATTTTATTAAAAAATTAAAATTTTCAAATTTTTTATTTGTTTTTGTTTTCAGCCATTGGTAGTAGGTTTAAAATGTGATTCATGTAGTCAAGGAGCATTTCATTTACATGAAAAAGCACAACAAGGTTGTTTCAAATGTTTTTGTTTTGGTGTCACTGATCAATGTCAATCATCTTCATGGTACAGAACAAAAGTAAGTTTGCATTTTCTTTTTTTTTTTTTTTTTGTTTACAATTATAAGAAACAAAAAAATAAACAACAAAATTGAATAATTAAATTTTCGGTTATATTTATGATTTAAAAAAAAAACATTTAATGAAATATTTATTCCACTCTTTTCCTTAATTTTCTTTTTTTTTTGCAAAAGATAGTATTTGACAGAAAGAAAGAAAACAAATATAGTATTGATTTTAATGAAATTTATGCTTGAAGATTAAATTTTTATAAAAGAATTACATATGAAATTATAATTTTAAGTATTTAAGAAATTTTTTTTAAAAAAATTAAAATTATGATGAAAATATCTGAAATTTTTATCATTTTTTTCTTAGTATGAAAGACTTCTGTGAATATTTTAAGATAATTATTATTTTCCAAAACATTTGAAAGTTTTGAATAGCTTATCAATTGTAAATAATTTTTTTTGCAACCACTGATAAATTAATCGAAATAAGAATAAGATAGTTATTTAATAGAAATCATAATAAAGACTAAACAATACGAAATAAATTCAATAATAAGTTTAGTACTGATAATAATTGATGGATTTGTTAATAGTAGTGGAAGTTGTGATAATGATATAATAGTTTAGTGATAAGAACTGATAAAATAATTAGATTAATCTGTTTAATAAGTGATATGTTGAAATTTGTTGGATAATAATATGAATTAATAATTTGGACAATATTATAATTTTTATTATAAATTAAAATTTGAATTATCAGTTAATCAGTCTTATCACTAATCAATCATTTTATTCTATGTTTTGCGTTCAGAATATCGGTTGCGTAAGTTTTAAATTAATTACTCTCTTTACGCACTATTTGGTGTGTGATTAGTTTGCCAAAATTGCACTCATTTTTTCTCCGATAAAATTTGCATAAAAATATTTAAAATTTAAAAAATTTCTCAAAACATTTTGAATTTTACTCTAATATTATTAGTTTGCAAACAGTTACAATTATAGAAAATTTTCAAAAATTTTCTTTTATGCACTATTTGCTGTGCTTGTTTTTTTTGCTAAATTGCACTTTTTTACAGTAAAATTTTTCTGAAAAAAATTTTTTTTATAGTTTAAATAATTTTTTTATAATATTTTTTTTTTATTTTTTTTAAATTCTTGTTTGATTGGAGGTAAATTGCAGGACGAGAATGAATAAATATTCTAATAGTAACAAATATTTAGCAAATAATTATTTAGATTAATAATGAACAAATAAGTTTTTTGATAAATTTTAAGAATTCTGATGAGAATAATTTTTTTCTTTTATATTTTTTTTTAAAAATTTTTTTTTATCTCAAATGTTTAATTTTATTAAGAATTAATAATAAGCAAGAAGAGAACTTTTTCAATTTTATTTTTTCTCTTTTTTCACCTAATTAAATTAGCACAAATAATTTTTAAAATTTATTAAAAATATTTATAAATATATATATATATAACTGAATAATATGCCATTAATCTTTCAGAATATATTTTTGTTTACTTGCAGAGAGAACTTTTTTAAATGAAATAAATTAAAAATTGTAGCATTGAAATTATTTCACTGCAAAATTTTTAGAAATATTACTTTACTTTTCTCTTTTTCTTTTAAGAGAGAGAAAAAAATTAGAAATAATCACAGATTTTTTCTTGCTTTACAATTTTATTTTTTACTTTTTACAAAAAAAAAAAAGAAATTTATTGTTTTTATAAAGCTATAAAATAATTTATGATGCACTTTGTTTGTTTGTTTGTTTGTTTTTTTCTTTTTTCTTTTCTTTTTTTAATTTATTGTTTGTTTGAAATATTGTGGCACATAAAAATTTATTATATTGTATTCGAAGCTCATCACTTTTTTTTTTATTTTGAAATGTATGTCATTTTCAAATTTTTTTTTTTTTTAATTTCTAAAATTTCATTTTTTTTTAAAGGACAAACTTATTTTGAACGGTGATTCACGAGGTGTTCATATATCAGATATCAATGGACAAATACATAGTTCACAATTTGATTATAGTAAACCTGGAATGGTAACATTTAATGAACCATCATATCAAACAATGTACTGGAAATTACCAACACGTTTTCTTGGAAATAAGGTTTTTAATTTAATTAATTAATTATTTTTATTAATTAGGCATAATTTATACAATACCAAATGTTTGGGTTAATCTAAATTTTGAAGAATATTAAAATCTGATTAAATTTTAATAATTTAATTTTAATTATGTAGAAGAAAAAAATATTTAAATATGAAAATATTATCAAATTTTACTTCAATATACATTTTTCTTCTTAATTTTACAATATTTAAATTTTTTTTTTAAACTCATATTTGAAGTAAGACATATTTTAGTATATGAAATGGCTTATTTTAACTAATATAATTTAAATTAAAATTGAATACTATATTAATTATTGTATTTTGCAGCTAACAGCTTACGGTGGTGAACTTTCATTTGATATACAATATTCATGTCCTGGATCTGTTAATAATGAACCATTAATTGTTTTGAGAGTAAGTCTTTTTTTTGAAATTTTTTTTTTTTAAATTATTTTAATTAATTTTACTAATATATGTAAAATAAGAAAAAGAAAAGACAAATCAGAATTTAAAAAAAATATATAAGAAAAATAGAAATAAAGGAAAAAAAAGCTAATCAATCAGATTTGATAATTTTTAATTTACAAAAAATTTCACATTTTTAAGCAATAACTCGTTACACATAGAAATACTAATTAATTTAATAACTTAATAATTATTATATGAGTGATTTGACTTTATTCATTATTGAATTTCTATTCAAGTAAATAAAAATAAATATGAATTTTATAAATATCTAATTGTGAAAATAAAAAATGATGCATTATGTTTAATAAAATTAAGTTTTACAATATTTAACTCTAAAAATATAAATAAGCTTATAAAGTCATTTCAATTTATATCTAAAATTAATACTATTCATAAGAAGTGTCTGTAATTACGATTGCTAATATGATTGATAAAAGATGATAATTTTTAATGATAAGTGATATGATATGGATTAATGATATTTCATTGATAAGTCTTGTTAATATTTTAGGGTAATGGTATAACATTGGTACATCGTCCGATTGATACACATATGTTTACCTCTGATCAAATAATCCGATATACCATCAATACATTTGAAGTATGTTTTTCAATTTATTTAAAATCAATTTTATAAATTTAAATAGTATTATCTCTTCATATCATTTAACTGATAAAATACAGTGATAATTTTATTATTGAAAATGTTATAATTTAAATATTACCATTTCATATTCTTTTTTTGAAATATTGAATTGAAATTTTCTCCCTTCACTTTTATTATTATCATCAATAAAATTTATCATGCATTATCATTCCACCAATCAATGATAGCTGCACCATTATAACATCGTGCATCATTATTACCACCACAGCTGTCATTATCACTATTGTTATCATTATCATTATTTATATCATCTTTTTTAGCATCATTTTCATCATTATTATCATTTTAATAACCTTTATCATCATTACTAACATTACCATCGTCATCATCATTATATCATTATCATTATTGTCATTGCTATCGTTGTCACTGTTACCATTATCATTATCATCATTATCACTAATACAATCATCATTGTTATTATCTTTATTTGCTGTATTCGTATTTCATATTTTTGATTTATTTAAATAAAAAACAATTTCTCTTTTTTTGAAAAAATGATTTTTATCTCCTCTAAGGAAAGAATAATTTTTTTAATTACAGGTAAATTTTGAAGAATTAGATGGTAGACCAGCAACACGAGAGAATTTAATGATGGTACTTGCTAATATTGATATGATGTTAATTCGTGCTACACATTGTTATGGACAACAATATACAAGGTTTTATACTATTAATCTTTAATTTCTTTTTCAAATTTAATTTTTATTTTGAAAATTTCATTTTCTTAAAAAAAAAAAATTTATTACTCTTTAATTGAATTATATATTTATACTTTTTTTTTATTGAAATATCTTTAATAAAAAACGATTATATGAAAAGTTTATAATTTTCAAATTATTATTAATTAATTTTGTTTGAAAAAAAAAATTATATTGTAGACTTGGTGATATTACCTGGGAAATAGCAGTGAATCGTGATACACAAGAGAGATTTGCTTTAGAAGTAGAGCATTGTTCTTGTCCACCAGGTTTGTCTTCTTTAATTTAATTTTATTAATTAAATGCAACTAATTCTTCTTCTTCTTTCAACGAAATTAATTTTATTTCATTTTTAATTGTTTGATAAATTTAAAAGACAAAACAAAAACATTTGTTAATATACATTTTTTTTTTGTTATTTCTAATAAAAATAAATGAAAGAATAAATTATTTTATTAAAAATGTATTAAAAAATTATATAGAATTAATTTTATTTATTACTAATATTTTTTTATTTTTATTTAAATTGCACTTAAATAATTAACTTTATTAACTTTTAAAGGATATACTGGACTATCATGTGAAAGTTGTGCACCAGGATATGAACGTTCACCACAAGGTCCATACCTCGGTACCTGTATACCTGTACAACACCGTGTACAATGTTCAACAAGTGGTGCACGCAGCATGCATCCTGGTTATGATGGTAAATGTCAATGTAAAATGTATGCGATAGGGACGTTATGTGACCGTTGTCCATCTAATACTTTTCATTTGTCACCACGAAATCCGCAAGGTTGCATTCCATGCTTTTGCTCTGGTGTCACCCAACAGTGTACCTCTGCTAGTAGTTATTATCGAACTCAGGTAGCTATCGATTATAGACGAGGTGCTACTGATCAGTTGGAAATTACAACCAGTGATGCACATAGTCCATTTACGTATGTATTATCGTTTTTTTTTTTTTTTTTTTTTTTTAAATTAATTTAAATAATCAAAGAAAAAAGTCCAAGAAAAATATAAGTAATACTTTAAAAGAAAAATCAGATAATAACTAAAATTAACTTTTTTTTTGTATAAATAAAATATTTGATAATTGTATAAATAAAAAAAAAATATATTTGTTTGATAACTTAATTTTATTATCTGATTTTTTTAAAAAGGTTTTTTTTAAAGTGTGAAATAGAATAGAATAAATAATTTTGTATTAATTTTCAAAAAAAAAAAAAAAGGGCTGAAATTAAAAAAAAACAATGCCAAAAATTTAAATAAAAATGACGAAGTTAAAATAAAGTGAGAATAATTAGTTTTAATTAATATATGATAAATTCATTTTAATAATTTACTATTATAACTACAAAATAGTAAATAAATGTTATCGTAAATATATGATTGTATTACAATAGGAGAAAAAAAATTTTAATTTTATTATAATTAATTTTATTATGATTTTTGATTTTAAACAAATAATATTTTCGTTTTCTTTTTGTTGTTAATTTAACTTATATTAGCATAAATAATAATAAACAATGATGTAATTTTATTTATTTCTTTTTTTACAGACCTCAATCACAAGCACAAATAACAGGAAATGATATAACATTTGTATCATTTTATGAAATACCCGGGCAAACATTGTACTGGAAAATGCCAAAGCAATTTTTGGGTAATAAAGTTACCAGTTATGGTGGTACATTAAAATATGTCTTTCGTTATTCTTGTACTGGACCATTAAATATTGATGCAGATGTGATCTTACGGGTGGGTATCTTTTTATTATTGTTTGTTTATTTGTTTGTTTTTGTTTTCATTTAAATATGATACTAAGTAAACAAATAATATGCTAGTTTTTTTTTTTTTTCATTAAAATTATTTATTAAATTTCTTTCCTTTTTTTTGATTCATAAAATCACTGTCAAATAAATTTAAATATGAAATAAAATTAATTTTGAAAAAAAGAAAAACAATAAATTAATAAGTACATATGTGTCGATAATATTATTGAAATAATATTTAAAAAATAAAATTTAGACTAATAAAACTAAATTGAGTAATTGAATAAATAAATCACCTTATGAACAATTACTTAAACTAATTAATTTTTAGTAATAATTAATTAATATATGTGCTAAAAAATTATGTCTAATTATTTTGCTTTTAATTTCAAAAAAAAAAAGTTCCAAAAATTTTCATTTTTTATATGTTTTTTTATATGTTTTTTTTTTATAAGTAATTTTTTTTATATTCAAACTACTACGATTAAAATTAATTTCCATCAAAGAATTTCCATCTTTAAAAGATATCGAAATAACATTTTCCGCTTTTTTTCGGAATAGCTTAGTTCCGGTTTTTTTTTTTTTTTTAATTTTTATTTATTTAATAAATTTTAGGGTAATGATATTTCATTACAATATACAAATCATCAACCAATTTATGCTGATCGTGAAAATACAATTGAAGTAGTTTTATTCGAAGATCATTGGCAACGTATGGATGGACAGTTAGCCACACGTGAACACCTGTTGATGGCATTAGCTGATCTCGATAGCTTATTAATTAAAATGAGTTATACGGATGAATGCTCATCGTCCTCATTAATTAGCGTTTCATTAGATTATGCTGAACCGCATGCAACTGGTGGTGAAGTTGCTTATGAAGTAAGCTAAAAATTTTATTTATAATTTTCCTTCTTTTCATTTTTTTTCTTTTCTTTTTTTTGTTCATTCTTTTTTAAATTTGTTCCTTTATAAATTTCTTTTTAAACTTAAATTTTTTTTTAAATTTATTTTAAATTCATAATTTATTTGAAAAAAAAAATTAAATATAATAGAAAATTAGATTAATATATCATTGATTAATGAAATTAAATGATTGTTTGTTTCATTGTTATAAATTTGAGAAAATTTTTTGAAATACAATTTTTTATCTTTTTTTTTTCTCTCATTCTTTTTTAAATTTATGATAGAAAATTGAGTTAATATATCATTCATTATTTAAATTAAATGAATTAGATTAAATTATTTGTTTCATTCTTATAAATTGAAAGATTTTTGAAATATATTTTTTAATTTATTGCACTTTTTTTTTCGAATACTTTCAAGCATTTTTTTTCTTATTATTTTCAATATTTAGTAAAGTAATAAGTAAGAATAAATTTTTTTAAATTTGAATTATATGCATTTTTTTGTTTTAAGAATTGATTTTTTTTTTAAGTGAAAATTAAAAAAAAGGGAGAAACTGAAATAAGCATATTGAATTAAAGGTTGAACAATGTCAATGTCCGCCCGGCTACATTGGTACATCATGCGAAGATTGCGCACCTGGATATTCTCGTACAGGTGGTGGATTATATCTGGGTCTTTGTGAACGTTGTGAATGTCATGGACATGCTTCACAATGTGACAAAGTTTGTTTGTTTATTGTTTTTCTCTTCCTCCTCCTTTTTTTTTCTCGATTTTTAATTTAATAACTGAAATAAACTTATTTTTAAAAATTTAAAATATTGATTATTGAAACTTTAATGAAGAAAATGATTAATATTTTTACAAATTTTTCCACAGTATTTGCCAGTTCTTTTATATTAATTTATTTATTATTTGTTTTCTAATAAACTTTTTTCTGTAATTTTACATTTGAATTTTTTTTTTAAAAAAAAAAGTAATTCCACAATATTTATAAATTAATTCATTTATCACTTCTTTTATAATAATTTTTTTTTATATATATTCTTAGATTTAAAGAAAAAAAATCGAATTCCTGTGCAATATTTACAAATTATTTTATATTATTTCATTTATCATTTCGTTTATAATGAAATTTTTTTTTTGTATTTTTAAATTTGAATTTAAAGAGAAAAAATAATTTAAAATAATAAATGATTTTAAAAAAGAATTTGTTGATAATTAGGAGCATGGCTTCTGCTTGGATTGTCAACATAACACTGAAGGCGATCAGTGTGAACGTTGTAAACCAGGATTTACCGGTGATGCACGCCGAGGTACACCGCATGACTGTCAACCGGCAGCGACAAGACCGCCATGCATGTGTAATAATCATTCACCGCGAGGATGTGATTCATTTGGTCGATGTTTGGTTTGTTTTTCTTTTTTTTTAAATTTTTTTAAATTAATAATAAAAATTAACCAATCAGTGATAAATGTAAATAAACTAAAAATAAAGAATCATTGCATTGCTAGAATTATGTTAAATTGAAAAGGAAGAAAATAAAATGGAAGAAATTGAATTTATTAACTTTTTGATGAAATTAACATTTTCTTGCGTGAAAAAAAAATCATTTGACTGACATTGCTAAATTCAAATTTATTAATTCTTTTATTAATTAATTAAGTAAATTACATGAAAGAAATCATTTAAGGTAATTTTGATATTGCTAATAATTCAAATTTATTATTTCTTTAATTAATTATTTGATGAAATTACATTTTTTTTGTAAGAAAAAATCATTCAAAATAATTGATAAATCCAAATTTTTATTAATTCTTTAATTAGTTAATTAATTAATTAGTGAAATTACGTTTTGTGTAAACGAAATCACTTAAATTAATTGCCAAATTCAAATTCATAAATTCTTTAATTAATTAATTGATTAGTGAAATTAGATTTTGTATGAAAAAAATTGTTTAAGTTAATTGACAAATTCAAATTTCAGTTAATTAATTAATTAATTAAATTATTATATTTTAGCTATGTGAGCATAATACAGAAGGCTATCATTGTGAGCAATGCAAACGTGGATTTTATGGTGATGCATTACGTGGTACACCATTTGATTGTACGCCATGTCCGTGCCCGTAAGTTTAAATTTTTACGTAAATCTAATTAATTCCTAATTTCATATATTTTGTTATACCACGTATTTTTTTTTTTTGTCGTAATTTTATAATAAATGAAAAATTTCAGTGGTACATCAGATTGCTTCTTAGATACGTATGGTCAAGTACAATGTCGTAATTGTCCAGCTGGTTTAACTGGACGTTTATGTGAAGAGTAAATTTTTATTTCATAAATTTTGAAAAAAAAAAAAAAGAATTGTAATTTATCTTTAATTTAATTTTTAAAAATAATATATTAGGAAAATTATGTAATATAGTTAAAATAATATATCCTTTTTAAAAGTTATTTGAATTATTCTATATATTGGCTAAATTACAAATTTATTAATTTCTTAATAAATTAGTTAATTAATGAAATAACATTATCTGAAAAAATTTTTTTAAGTAGTGTTCTTTTATTAATTAATTAAATTTGTGTTTTTTTTTTTCTATTTAACAAAAAAATTTAATTGTATGTCTAATACTATGAAAATAAATTAATGTTGTCAAATTTTTATTGACAAATTATAGATGTGCACCAGGTTATACACGTTCACGTTCACGTGCACGTATTGACGAAGGACGTATTTGTGAACCAATTGGACATGTGGAAGAAACAAATATCGTATTTGTACCAACACCTGAAGGTGATCGTAAACGTAAACGACGTTTTCGCTTGCAGCGTAATCGCTTACAGCGAAATCGCCGTTATTATCTTCAACGCAAATCATATTATTAAGCAATAAAAATTTTTTCATTTTTTTTTCCTTTTTTTTTTTAAAAAAATTCGTTTTAAAAATTTGAATTTTTTTTTTCTTCAAAATTAAATCTTTAATTATTTTACCTTTTATTTTATTCTCAATTCATTTATATTCAAATGTATGTGTGTTCGTTTTCTTTTTTTTTTTTTGTCACTGTGTTTTAATTAGCACTTTGTTCACCTGTGTTTTGTTTCTTTTTTTTTAGTTTTTTTTTAGTTTTTTTTTTTTTTTTTTTTAAATTTTTTTATCAAACACATAAAGCACAGAGGTTATTAGCCAAAAAGCATTTTTTTTTTCTTTGTAATAATTTGAATTAAAATTTGCACAAATCATTTCAAATCATTAATTTCACATAAATTTATTTTGTTTTAGCATTTTAAAAGAAAAAAATTTTGAATAAATTAATGTATATATAAATACGAACATAATTTAATTTATCAATGTTTTAAAATAATTTGAATACCATCAAAATTTACAATAGTTAAATATATTTGGCTAAACCTCTAATATTATAACTTTTTTTCTCTCAAAAAAAAAAGCTTATTATCCCAATTGTCATTATACATTTATTGCTATTTCATTTGGTCATTGAAATTTTTGTTTGGCTACAAATTATTTCAAATTAATTGGCCCACTTTGATTTAAATTTATATGAAAAAAAAATGTTTAAAGCAGTTTACATAATTAATAATTAATATTTTCAAAAGTCATATTTTATTGATGAAAAAAAAATTATTTAAATTGAATTTTAAAATATAGAAAATAAATTCTACACCAAACAAATTTCAAATTCTTACTTACTTTTGTAGCTTTAACAAAATATTATCATTATTATAACATATTTGAAAAAACGTATTGCTAATTGGCAACAAAAAAAAAAAGCAATTTTAATTAATTGTCTCTTCTCTTTTTTGTCCTCTTCTTTGATAAGAACACACCTCAGTGTTTATCACTATTTATCACTGCTTATCACACGATACATACGTGTCGTCCATTTTATCACTTTTTTTTTCCTTTGTAATTATATGCAATTAATTATTATTAGTTATAATTTAACAGTTTTTACAATTGACAAATATAAACTTTATTCGAAGTGCATGGTGTTTTGTTGGAATTTAAATTAACTAAAGAGAATTTCACCGTATATTTTATTTGGTTGTTTGTTTGTTTGTTTGTTTGTTTGTTTGTTTGCTTGTTCGTTCATTTGTTTTGCTTGCCTGCTTGCTTTTTTTTTTTTATTCTTCATTTAAAAATTTTAATCCTCCAAAAGTTTTTTTTTAAAAGAAATCATTTCAAAATTTAAACATCAAGATTATTAATTTCATCAAACATATCTTTATTATCATAAATTTTAGTTGATTTCCATAAAATTATTAATTTAATCAAACTAAATTTCAGATTGTCATTTTAATTAATTTATCTTTATCTTCATAAATTTTAGTTGCTAATTCATTTTAATAATTAAAAAGCTTCCTTATTTCATTTAATTAGCATATATAGCAGCTAATTTAAGTTCAAAATTATTTTTCCCCTTTTTATTTTGTTTATATATATTGTGTGTGTGTGTCTTTATTTAAATGTATCGTTGATTATTCGATACAAAATAATTTTATCATTTTTTATTTCCTTCTTTTTTATTTTTTAATTATCTTAAAATTTATGAATTTACATATATTTCAAGGAAAATTTTTTTAAACTAAAAAAATAGAATGAAATAAATAAACTGCAAATTCTTTGAGTTGTTTAATTTCATAATAGTATTTCAAGAAGAAATATTAAAGAAAATCTTAGGAAGACTTTCAGTATTTCTCTTAGAACAGTGATATCATTTTAATAATAATAGTAATGATAAATTAAGAAATCATTTAGTTAGCCATTAATTGCTGAGATATTTTTGAATTCAGGTCACATTTTAGACCTGTTTAATAATAATAATAATAAATTATTTAATGTTCATAAATTTGAATACCAATAATATCTAAGCTATCATAATATAATAATATTTACAGATGTAGAATAAAAGTTTTGTAATAATAACAATGACAACAACAATAATAATAATAAAATCGTATTACCTAGAAATATAAAATGTAATTAATTATTCTAAGGATACATTTAATATTTATTTATCATATTTATAATTTTATTTTATATTTTAAAAAACATATATATACTCGCATGAAGCATGGTTAAATTTCATTAATTTTGACATTATTCTAAGTAAATATAGAAAAGGCATGTTTTTACTTAATTAATTTAAATTAATTAATTAGTTTTTAGAATAATTAGTTTATAGATAGTAATGATACCATGCATTTGCATGAAACATGAAAATAATTGGAAAATTTCAGAAATATATTCTGCCTAATTTATCTACCGGAATACGTTTTTGAAAAAGGGAAAAAAAAAAGAGTGCATTGAATTTATCATTTCAGCATACGGTCCACCAATACGTGTACAAATTGATGCCCCGAAGAATTTACACATTCCGGTTGGCGGTAGAGCTCGTTGGTTTTGCCGAGTTATCGGTCAACGGGTATCATTCCTGTTTATCGTTTTTTTTTTTTAATTAAATTTTAATTGTAATATTATTTGATAATTTCTAGGTTGAAAATTCAGAATTCAAAGTTGAAATAAATTCCTTTTTTTCTTTAAAAAGAAAAGAAATGTTAAAATCTGAATTCTTTTTTTTATTAAAATAGATTGTTTCATTCATAATAATACTTTATTTATTTTATCATAAAAATTCTTTACTTAGTGATCTTTTTCTCACTTAAACTTTTATTTGAATTTAAATTTAAAATTTTTAAAATACATAAATATTACTACTATTCATTTAAATATTAATTAAATCACTACATAGCATCTTAGCATCACTTTTTTCTTTTGTTTTTTGTTTTTTTTTTTCATTTGTTTTCTCATTTCTACTATCAATTGTTCTAATTAATTTAATTAAAACAATAAATTAAAATGATCATTTTAAGAGTGCTGGAATTCGATTACAATGGTCAAAAGTTGGTACTGCTGGATTGCCAAGTAATGCAGTTCAGTATGATGGTGAGTTAATTATTAACGGTGTGCGTGAATCGGATGCAGGTCAGTACCGATGTACCGGATCAGGTGATCATCAGTTTGCTACCGATGATGGTACACTAAATGTTGAAGCAAAACCACGAATTCCAGGTTTAATTTTACACGTATAAATCATCTCACTGATAACAGATTAATGATAATACTGAAATTAATTTCTTGAATTATCAACAATTCAAACATCTCGATATTAGCATGATTCATGTCACATCTCGATATTAGCATGATTCATGTCACATCTCGATATTAGCATGATTCATGTCACATCTCGATATTAGCATGATTCATGTCACATCTCGATATTAGCATGATTCATGTCACATCTCGATATTAGCATGATCCATGTCACATCTCGATATTAGCATGATTCATGTCACATCTCGATATTAGCATGACTCAGCTTCTAGCGTACATTAATCACACCCTATCTTCTGGTATATTTGAATTTAGCGTAAGATTTATGTTACATCTCGGATATTAGCACTGTTCATCGTGATATTAGCATTATTCACGTTATATCTTGACATTAACAACGTTTAGTCACATTTCGACATTAGCACTATTCACGTCACAACCCCGATATTAGCATTGCTCACGCTATATCTCGACAATAGCATTATTCACGTCATCTCGATGTCAGCGTTGCTCATGCCATACCTCGGCAATAGCACTGTTCACGTCACATCTCGGCATTAGCATTGTTCACGTCACATCTCGGCATTAGCATTGTTCACGTCACATCTCGGCATTAGCATTGTTCACGTCACATCTCGGCATTAGCATTGTTCACGTCACATCTCGGCATTAGCATTGTTCACGTCACATCTCGGCATTAGCATTGTTCACGTCACATCTCGGCATTAGCATTGTTCACGTCACATCTCGACATTAGCATTGTTCACGTCACATCTCGGCATTAGCATTGTTCACGTCACATCTCGGCATTAGCATTGTTCACGTCACATCTCGGCATTAGCATTGTTCACGTCACATCTCGGCATTAGCATTGTTCACGTCACATCTCGGCATTAGCATTGTTCACGTCACAACCCGATATTAGCATTAATCATATTTTGCTTTCACTCACTTTTTGTACGTCACATTGATTGAATTGAATGTTTTAAAGAAGAAAATTCTTCATACAATATTAAAATACAATAATATATTTAATGAATTGTATTTATTTATTTATTTAAATTTATTGCGAACAATTTTTTTTTTCAAGCAGAATCGACCATTTGAATTGTTCCTTTTTTTTCTTTAATTTGCTAAATATATCTAAAAGTTTAATTCTGCTTAAGCTCACTTTTTCATCCTTTTTTATTTTTGCTAAAATTTAGAAGTTATTTCTTTTTTTCCACTCTTTCTCTCTCTCTCTCTCTCTTTTTACCTCTTTGTCTATCGCATATAAATTTATGATATTTTTGTTTTTCCTTAAATGCAACCTTTTCCTTTCCTTTCTTTGCCCTAATAATTTGCTTTTACTTTTAAATACTTAGAAAAAAAAAAAAATTAGCGGAAAAGAAAAATAAAATGAAACTTTAGTTATTGGCAGACCGCCACCAGTAATGATTGACCCATTGGAACAAACAGTAAATGTTAATGACATGGTTACCTACCGTTGTTGGGTACCTGGTTTATCATCTTGTGAACTAAAATGGTACAAAGAAGATATCGGTGGACAGCTACCGCATGGTGTATATCAAACCGATGGAATGTTGAAAATTCCGCATGCGCAATTGGAACATGCTGGCAGTTATATTTGTACCGCTTCTAATGAATATGGCATTGGGAAATCACCACCTGCACGTCTAATTGTTCAGAAACGTAAGTAAATTAGTAACAATGATAGTAGTGATAACAGTAATGATAATAGTAGTGATAACAC